AACCCCTCTCCTTTTCCTCTCCCTGAACTCCTACTACCCCCAATCTTCTTGTTTTTTAGGGTTCCTCCCTCCTTTCTCCCCAGATTTTTGGGTCCCCCCTGACCTCTCTGTATTTTGGGGGTCCCCTCCTCATTCCAAGGGTCTCAGGGGGTCTCCTGAGATTCCCCCTTTTCTTTCTCTCCAAACTCCCGCTTCCCTCAGCCTGTATATTTTTGGGATTCCCCTGGATTTCGAGGTGCCCCCCTGGATTTCGGGGTCCTCCCAACCCCTCTGTACTTTGGGGGTCCCCCCCTCATTCCAGGGGTCTCAGAGGGGTCTCAATCCCCTCTCCAAGTCCCTCCATATTTTGGGATCTTTCCCCCTTTTCCCCCTTCTCTCTAACCCTCTATATTTTTGGGATCCCCCTGGATTTTGGGGTCCCCCTCGACCCCTCTGTATTTTGGGGGTCCCCCCTTCATTCCAGGAGTCTCAGGGGGTCTCCCTCCCCTTTCCAAGCCCCCCCCATCTTTTGGGGTCTTCCCTTTTCTTTCCCCTTTTCCGTCTCTCCAAAGTCCCGCTTCCCTCACCCTGTGTATTTTTGGGATCCCCCTGGATTTTGGGGTCCCCCCCGACCCCTCTGTATTTTGGGGGTCCCCCCCTCATTGCAGGGGTCGCGGGGGGTCTCACCCCCCTCTCCAAGCTGCCAGCCTGTAACATCCTGCTGCTGGGGGCCCAGCGTCGGACCCTCTCGGGCTTCTCGTCCACGTCAGTGCTGCCCCACACGGGCTTCATCTACCACAGCGACATCGTGGAGTCCCTGCTGCCGGTGGGTTCCCCTCTCAGATTTGGGGGGGTGTTTCTTCTTTTCATATTTCCCTCCATTTTCCTCCTCACCTTTCTCGCCATTTTCCCCTCATATTTCCCGCCCTTTTCCCCTCGCATTTCCCACCCTTTTCCCCTCGCATTTCCCACCTTTTTCCCCTCGCATTTCTCACCCTTTTCCCCTCGCATTTCCCACCCTTTTCCCCTCGCGTTTCCCACCCTTTTCCCCTCGCATTTCCCGCCCTTTTCCCCTCATGTTTCCCCCGCTTTTCCCCTCACGTTTCCCGCTGTTTTCCCCCACACATTTCCACCATTTTCCGAAATCCCCTGAAATCCCCCCTGACCCGCAGGATCTGAGGAGGAAGGCCACCAGGCTGGTGGCGGCCAAGTGCAACTTGGTGGCGCAGGTGGACTCGTTCCATGAGAGCCAGGAGGGGAAGGTGGGACCCAAAACGCACCTGGGGGAACCCAAAATATCCCTGAACGCAAACACCTCTGTGGGACCCCCTAAAACCTCCTCGGGACCCCCCAACCCTCCTCAGGGACCCCCCAAACCATCCCTGGGACCCCCCAAACTCCCTCAGGGACCCCCCAAACCACCCTGGGACCCCCCAAAGCCCCTCAGAGACCCCCCAAATCCCCCGTTTTGCCCCCTCAGGTGGGGTACGAGCTGAAGGAGGAGATCGAGCGCAAGTTCGACAAGTGGCAGGAGCCCCTCCCTGTGAAGCAGGTGAAGCCCCTCCCGGACCCCTGGATGGACAGAGGAAGAAGAGGGAGGGCCGTAGGTGAGTTAATTAGCACTAATTAGCACCCCAGTTAACCCCAATTAATCATAATTAACCAGTCATTAACTGGTGGGTGGGCAGAGGGAGAATGGGGGGGCTAGGGGTGGGTCTGGTCTGGCTCTGGGTTTGACTCCCCTAATTAACTCCTAATTAGCCCCCAATTAATGCTCTAATTAGCACCTAATTAAGCCTCAAATTAACCATTTGCCAACCTAATTAACTCGTAGTTGAAACTCCCAATTAATCCCTGAACTGACCCTCTAATTAACTCTTAATAAACACCCAATGAACCTCTGATTAACTCCCAATTAATTCACCAATTAAATGGAATTAATCCCTAATAACGTGTAAGCTTTAACTAAGCCTTGATTAATCTCTTAATTACCACTAACTAAATCCCTATTTAACTATTGATTAATCCCGGAGTGACCTCTAATCAACCCCAAATCAAGGAACCCCCCAACTGAACCCTAATTAAGCCGTAATTAACACCTAATTTATATCTAAAACCCCCTGGTTAACCCTAATTAATGCCTAATTTATACCTAGGTAGCCCCCCAACGAACCCCCTAATTAATCCCCTAGTAACCCTCCCATTAATCACTTCATAGATCCCTAATTACCCCCTAAGTAGCCCTAATTAACCCCTAATTAACCCCCAGGTACCGGAAGATGAAGGAGCGTTTGGGGCTGACGGAGATCCGGAAACAGGCCAACAGGATGAGCTTTGGGGAGGTAGCTAATTAACACTAATTAGCACTAATTAATCAGGAGATGGGTAATTAACCCCAATTAACCAGGAGGAGGTGAGTAATTAACCCCAATTAAAAAGGGGAACTTTGGGAAGGGGGGTAATTAACCCCAATTAACCAGGAGGAGGTAGGTAATTAACCCCAATTAAACAAGGGGACCTTTGGGGAGGGGGCTGATTAACCCCAATTACTACCCCAATTAATTAACACCAACGCCCCTCAATGGGAGATCCCCCCAATTAACCCTCATGGTTAATTAATCTCCCCTTCCTAATTAAGGGCCCCCCCTTTTTCCCACCTGGGGAACCCCCAAACCTCCTTTTAGCCCCCCAGACCCCCTTTTCTCTGCCTTTGACCCCCCCCCGGGACCCCCGAACCACCTTTTACCCCTCGAGATCCCATTTTAGCCCCCCTTTTACCTCCCCAAATCCCCTTTTACACCCTGAGATCCCCTTTTAGCCCCCCTTTTACCCCCCC